AGTGCCTTGCTTAATTAAGGGCACACCAGAAGTTAATGTTATATAAAATGAGATCAGCAACACTCCGATTGACAGTTCTCCAGATGTTCCCGTCATAGCGGTGATTCGAACCAGTGGGTCGCTGTCCCACTTCTCCAACCACTACGCTGCCTGGTGCCCTGGTAGACACAACATGCTGGATGCAAACACACTAGCAGCCGCATATTCCACCGTGTCTAAATCACAAGACAACTGGAAGGCAAATGAACCTTCAGACAGTTCCTGCTGTATACGTTTTATTATTTTGGAATACACAGACATTAGCATCACGGAAACAGTGAACTGGGAAATGAAGTAACACGAGCAAAACTTGGAATAACTTAGCAAAATACACAATCGTCATATTGCAATAAGCTTAAATATTTAAATAATATCAAGATTTTAGTGTGCAATCTTTCCCCATGTCTCTGTGAATCAAAACAATCCACTGGAACGGTATGGCATCCATATATAGGTCAACTAAATTCCCACATCACACCACAGTGGGGCAGTGTGTGCTCATATCCAGCCCCCGTATCGCAGCTTGTTGGGCAGGTAGACACGGCTGAGGAAATCGGGAGTTATGGAAGCCAAGGACTGGATCTCAGCTTTCATCTTGCTCTGTTGCATGATTTCTATCTGCAACAAAAACAAGAGATTTCCACGAGGAAGGATGAAGACACAGAGGTGTGTCTGGAACGAGTTGTAAGCCCATCTACTCTATTTAATAACGGAGCGGACGGTCCTCTGAGATGCATTCCACGGTGCTGTGTCACACCTGCAAAACATCTCAACTGTAGTAAAAACACACTTAGAGAATGCAGCCTGCGTCTCGTAAACCACAAGTGAATGACTACGAGGTTAACGTTTCTTCAGAGGACGTTAATGGTGAATAGGAGTATGTTTACCACACATAGCAATCCAAATTGCATTCAGCTGTTGTCAGACCTGCACACCTTCTTTTCTTTAAATGTTCTTTCCCATCTCGGTCAAAACAGACAAAAGCCCTCGTTCTCCTCTGTGATAACCCCTCGTACCTCTTTGTGCCAGACAGGCTGGCAGGCTAGGTAGGGTCTCTTCTTCAGGCTGGTCAGTTTACTCATGTCTCTTTGTGTCAGGGGAATGAGAGCTTCCTCGGGAACTCCCAATCTGAAGCACAGAAGAATTACGGCAGTCCATTCAAGAATATTCTAATTGTAAATTGGTTGACAGCCTGACCGTACTAATTGTTCTGAAACCCTGAGACAAAGCCACAGTCCGAAAAAAAATGAATTCAAACTAGAGGTGTAAATCATGTGGAGTTTGAGTCCTAGGAACTGGCTTGCAGAACACAATTAAACTTGACTCAAAGTCAAAACCGATTTGCAGGCTAAGATTTCTCTAGCTGACATATACTTAAAACTCAATACACTCCCTGAAACAGCTCCCCGGGGACAGGAACAAAGCAAAGGCAGCAACAGAAACCAAAACAAACAATCTCTAAATCCCAAGAATATAATCCAAATTCGAGGAGGAGGAGGCGGTAGTGAGTGGTTGTGTCCAAACCTCTGTAGGTCAGAGGGGAGGAGGCCCAGCCACATTACACTGGGGACGGTCAGACTGTGGGCCTCGAATGACATAGCCTGAGGGGACAGACACACACAAACGCATCAACATATATGACCAGCAGATACACTAATGCAGCCAGATGGATGAAGAAACCGCCAGGCAAGAGGACAGACATTTACTCTACTTAACCCACTTACATATTGCATACATATTAAACATATATGACATACATATTACAGTGCATGTAGTAATTGTAACAAGATAAACACATCAGGTCCTACACACGCCTGTACTCACAGCGCACTAGTGAGCTTGAGCACTATCACCTCGTATTTCCACTTCATGACGCTTTGCTTGTCAGATATGGTCAATCGATCAATCGATTTGTTTTTCACTTAAGAGGAGAATAATGACGTATGTCTAGTGCCGAGACATTGCACAGGCCACATTGGATAAAAATGGAAATACACATGGACGCCAGGACTCACCACTGATCCATACTTATAGATGCACATAATCTCAATGCCTAAGAAAATTAGAGACACAGAGAAGGGTTTAAAGAGAGACAGCACAACCACACCAGACCGATTACCCTGGGGACAACAAGGGTGACACATGCGGTCGTGTGGCCCTGGAGTGATGATTCAAATGTGCCGGACCACGCCCACACAAACAATCACCGTCCACACCACACCAGCCGGGGGCCTGGTGTTACCGTGTGGGTCAGCATCCACGAGAGCGAAGACGGGGATGCGGAGGGTGTCCCAAAGCTTCCTCACCATTAGTCTGCTGTTCACATCTGGGACACCTTTACCCTGAACAACACACATAATTGACTCAGAATATGAATCCACATAAATTAACGCGTTAAGTTCAAAGCCATCGTGCGAAACGGAGAAAACCATGTGACAATCCATTGGCTATACCGTGATCATGATGCACGGAGATAGCTTGTAGCAGACATCATCGTCAAGCAGCCTCTGGAAGGTAGCGTCCTTCTCCACGATCAAAACAAACTTGGCGGATGACACAATGTCTTCATGCCCGATCAAGGATGAAGTGTGGTCCATAGTGAATGAATAGGCATGGAGTCAAATCTATGTGATAAACGATGACTGACCACTCTGATAACACCATTTTAACGTGCATCTCTCAAGCTTACTTTTTCAATACATATACAAAATCAGAATCCTGCTTGGTTATGTTTAGTTTACACAGATACATCCACCGAGGAAGTCTAACAAACTATTTACAAGCTCTGACATTATTATGAAGGATACTTGTAATTCCCACAACATTAGAGGAAACAGGAGTGGCCTGAGAAAACAATTCAGAAACACAATTTATTTACAACATAACATGTTGCTGTTAACGCTAAAGCTAAAAACGAATAACGAGATATCAATTCGGCTTTTTGGATTCAAAAAGATTTTTCCAAGACAGCAGTACGCAGAGTACAAATAAATTGTTTGACTTAAAGTAAAATCATCCTGAAAAAACAAGTGATTCGTACATGGTATGTATTGTGGCCAACACAGAGCTGAGAATACAGGTATGGTATTTAATAGAAATGGGCGGGATTTAATGGTGCTAGATGTACATGGCAGATGATGAAACTGTAACTGACCCCTTCACATAATGTGCATATTAAACAAACATGAGCAAATTGTGACAAAGCTGAATCGTTGTAGAAATGCAAATTATTGTTTAGAGACCACTCTCTGAATCGCCCATGGTGGTGTAAAGCATCGTACACATTACAACAACTATGTGATTACCTCATCCTACACACACAATCTAGTTCCACAACCGGTTAGACAAGTGTACAGTCGGAACAGCATGGAGAAAAGGACATATATCGTCAAGAAAATCCCTATGACAGTAGCGTTTAACAAAGAACAAACATGCTGTTTCATAAAAGAATAAAAAAAGTTTCATGTAGTTACTTTTTCCAGAATTTTTCTCTGTAACTTTGTAGCAAGTTAAGCTAGCATGCAAAAAAGCTAGGTTGCTTACTTCCTTATGTTGACAGTCTCTGCCTATGGTGGAGTTTGAAAAAAAATGTAGAGCATGCAGAGGCCGTTTGGCAAGAGACTTCAATCGGTAGAGGGCCTCAGGTTTCCATTGAATTGAACTTAAATGCTAAATGTAATGGATTGCTGCATTTAAACGTGAACATGGCTTAAGCCACAGTAGAGTACAGAAGTCCACAGCAAAACATCCGAGCCCAGTGGGTCTAAAATCGGATCAGAGCTGACCTGCCTTGTCACCAGAACTCCAGCTAATCCTTGTGGTAGTTTGGGCGCCTGAAAGCTAAATAATTGATGACGGCCGAGTAATGTGTCACACGACGAGCCGGAAAAAACATTCTAGTTGAAGTAAGAAAGTAAAGAAAGACTTAGGGAGACGTGCATCTGAGAAAATGTCTCCATCTTCGATGCACTCTGATCTATTGTGGAGATGTATTGACAAGGCCACAATCTGAAATGGGACATTACATAACTGGGATGGGAGAGAAAAGGGGTAAACAATGAACTGATAAGCTTGAGATAATTTCAGAATTATGTAAACCCAGAATAATAGTTTTGTTAATGGACATACGCTGGAGTTGGAGTGACAGTTCACCCTGGTGCCATCCTCCTCCAGGTAGCACAGGTCACCTGAGATTAAGCCCTTGGATGTGGCCAGCTGCAGACCATTAAACACACACACACACACACACACACACACAACAATGCTTTTGAGTCAAGTTAAATTTTACAGCATTTTGATTATGAAAATCCTTGAGTAAGCTTTCACAGGTGTTTCCTGTAGAAGGCATAAAAAACTCAAAATTTGAATCCAGCTGAGAGCCTTGATCTGTTATCGCTGAACTAATCATAACATGTCATATCAAAAGGTAGTTGCAAAGGTTTTATGTTGATTTTACATTTTCGGGTTACTCCAGAGGAGGCCACAATGACCTTATTTTTGTAGGTCATTGTGGCCTCCTCTGGAGTAACCCGAAAATGTGCGCACACACACACACACACACCACACACACCACACACCACATGTAGTCTTCTGCGTGGAACCTTGAGCATGCAGGAGATGTCATCCACAATAGAATCAACAGTCCTCTGTGAGCCAAAATGCTGTGTGTTGTTGTAATATATGTCCCTACAGAAAAAAAGAGATTAACTTTTACCTCAAGTTGAAGCAAATTATGTATTTTCTGTTGGTAGAACATGTGACTTTACCTCTTTGTAGCATATGCGTTGCTCTGAACAAGTTTGTAGATGGACGAGAGAACCTTCAGAATTTGCCCTGCATAAAAAACATGAACTTCTCAAATATGCCAGGACAGGGGAAACTCAATAAATCAGTCCCCTATGATAGTTAATTTTTTTATTTAATTCAATTGAGAACAAATTCTTATCCGCAACAGCGACCTGGGGACAAGCTGGGGATTCAACTTAGGACATCATACAACCAAAGCATGCACTCTACCACTGAGCTACACCAACTGCTCCAAACTCCCTCATCATCAAAGATGTTAAATAATAATAATAAATGCCACATAATGTATTGACGTTTGATTCAGATCCTTAGCAAGTCATTACAAACGTTGGCAAATTAAAATAATGTGACATACTCTGTTGTGCTGGAAAGATAGAAGGGCAAATGGGGTGCATACAACTGACAGTGGTGTGGGTCATTTTTCTCACCAAATTTAGTGACAGTTGAGGAACAGTCACTCCGGACCGTGGTAACAGCGCCTCCCGAAGTCATGTGAAGGCCAACAGACATGTCAAAACTGTTCACGTTGGGAACAAAAAAGAAAGATAATTCATTCTTCACAGAATCAGACATTTCTGTCTCTCGTATCTTTGATCAGCTTTGTAAACGAGCACACCAGAGTTGTGTCCCTTAGAAGAATCCCAAACCCTCGGGGCTACCTGTGAAAAGTCGAAGGCCTCTCAATATATTGACTTCATTTCCTCTGTGAAACCTTTGACACTCAATCTGTGGGATGCTGACATTTGAAAGGGCAGTGCAAGAATGTGCTTTATGCTTTAAGGTTCGATGTAAACTTAACCAGACAGCACACTTTCTTCTAAGCATGAGGTCTCCAAAGCCTCTGCACTTTAAATACCTCTGCAAACTGCCAGATTTTTGTGTGGGTGTTTAGCTGGAGCTTTTTACAGTTTTTATCAGTGATACCTATTCAGAATCAGAAAGTCAATGAAGCTTAAGACATTATTGGTGTAAACTGTAAGTGATTTTATTGAAAATGTTTCTTCTAGTCTATTTGGACTTCTTTAGCTCAAACAAAGACTCTGAGAAGCAAATATGCATTTCCCCTAACACATTCAACAATGTAGACAACGTTCAAGTCCTAACTTTAAAATGAGTGTAATGTTTAGTTTACACAACCTGACAGCCTATTTAATATAATCCTGGTATATTTAAACAACATAAGAGGCATGAGTAGTCTAAATGTTACGTGTTTATCTTGCAAAGTTCAGAATGCGTACGGTAAGCACCACCCACACACACATGTACACGCGCACACACACACACACACTGCTAAATGCGAAATAGTCTACCTCACGTTGGCCCAGCTGGATCGGTTGGGTAGAACCAACACCGGAGCTTCACCTTTTGATAGAATGGTCACTATCTCTAAAATCACATTTTCAATGCGATTTAAAACCACCTGGCTGAGAATCAGATCAAAAACATTGGACAAAACAGAAATACCTTTACAGTCCATCATAATTATAGCATACAAGTTAATGGAAATGATCTCCACTATTACATGCCCGCACCTGATGAAGGTAGATTGGACCAGTATACCAACATATAGGTAGATTGGACAGGTATACCTACATACAGGTAGATTGGACAGGTATACCTACATATAGGTAGATTGGACAGGTATACCTACATATAGGTAGATTGGACAGGTATACCTACATACAGGTAGATTGGACAGGTATACCTACATATAGGTATATTGGACAGGTATACCTACATACAGGTAGATTGGACAGGTATACCTACATATAGGTAGATATGACAGGTATATATAGGTAGATTGGACCAGTAAACCTACATGCAGGAAGACACGTGACCCTACCTGCTGACGTCATCCTGGTTGTGTTCAGAATTCATCTGCAGATCTTCATTTGTTAACAACTCTATTCGGAGCTTATCAACTTCAATAAACTGTTCGAACATGTTTGAAGCGCGACTTGTTACAAGATTGTAAAAGATAATTACAACGTTTTTACACGAGTAAATGTTAATAATGTACTTAAATACTGTGGACTTATTCGTTTAAGACCGGGGACTGGTAAGGAATCGCGCGTGGACAGCTGCTTTTAGCGCGGAACTCGCCGCGCGTGAGATCAGCTGGTCTGAGGGTATTACGTCACTTTATATACGTAAATCACTGGCAGAATACGTCACTTTATATACGTAAATCACTGGCAGAATACGTCACATTACTTTGAATGTTTGTTTTAGGACTAATGTCCAACTAAGCAAAACACAATACACTATTAATGGTGGATTTCTAACATACCATAAAGGTGATACATTGAGTCTAAACTTTTTGCCAGAATCTTGATGTCACCAAACTGATTTTCAATTGATTGTAACAACACTATATAATTGCTTAATAGCTAGTTAACTAAAGTTCGCATTTCTATATTCACTAATTTCACTAGCTAATGACAACATTGCAATTTGTCAAAATATGTAATGGCTACATTTCTAGTTAATATTAGCCTAATTTAGAGTAAGATCATATAGCCAACTGTAATTGAGATAAAACCGCAATTAGCCCTGTTAAAAAAATAATTCATACTGATGTCCAGCTCATCAGAAGCAGGCATTATTGTGCATTATTAAAAAAGGCTCTTCTAATTTTAACATATCGAATCGTGTGTTATGGTGGATTTTGTCTTCAGGCTTATGGTTTTGGAGGTGGAAATACCATGCTGAGGTGGTTTTAAAAATGTATTGTCTTTCTTTATGGCATACTACAATTAAACACATTGAATTGTTGTTGTTCTAAGTACTGAGTGGGAGAACCGTGCATAAATTCTTTCAGTGATGCTAACATAAAGGTCATTGCTGCCAGCTGTGCAAGCAAACTATTTAACTTTTTTATTTATTTTACCTTAATTTCACCAATGGAGAACAAATTCCATTTGCTATGGAGACCAGGCCAAGATAAAGCAAAAACGTTCAAGACAACATACAGTTACACAATAAATACACAGAATACAATAGTGCAAATAGCAGTGTCATTCTACGTGGCAATACAGGATCAAGTAGAGTCAATATACAGTTAATACAGGATGGGGTATTAGTAGGTCAGTTGAGCAGCTTTGAAGGCAGTAACAAATATATAAAATGTAAAGAGAGTCTATATACAGAATGTAGAAAGGTCAAGTGTATCTCGCAGGCAGGTCATTTGTGAGCATAACTTGTGTGACCTTGGTAACAGAATATGTCAAAGAATGTAAATAGGTATGATAGCAGTACAGGTGTTTACCACTGTGCAAAATGGGCATGGCAAATGCAAAAAAGAGGGGGTGGATTAAAACCAGACGACAGTTAACACGTACAGTGATTGGACAAAAGTGGTTCAGACTTAGGTACAGTGGGTGGGTAGAGCTATGGTGACTAGAGAGCTTTGGTACAGCGGGACTTTGCCTAGTAAAGACCATGTAAATGAGTTGGTACCAGTGAGTTAAACACTGGGTGTTTTAAGACAGCCAGTATGGGGCATTGGCAAAAAAGTGAATAACACTGTGGTAAACCACATCCAATGTCTTCAGGAGAGATTTTGAGGCTATAATGAAAAATCAAACATTGGTATTCTAGTCATCTTCATCAAAACAAGTTTGGCAGAATGAGTGGAGGCCCTATTGCGGAATAGGAAACCGAGTCTGGACTTAATTGTTATGTTCCACGTATTGTCTGTGTGTTGTGTGTGTGTGTGTTTGTTTCACAGGTGCCGGGAGTGAGTGCTGACGAGAAGAGAGGCGTGGCTACCGGGCCTTTGAAGTGGGCCGCACCTGCGGGTGATTATGGCGCCTATTAAGCGCGGTTCATTTGGGCGGAGAAGAGGAAGCCGAGAAGCAGAAGGAGATTATTACTTTTGAGATTCATGTTGTTTTGTTGTTTACTGCCAGGCACTGGCTGTTCTGCTATTTCGTTTCTGTTATTCTCCCTGAGGAGGAGGGTCAGGTAAGACACCTCAAGGTTTACATACGCTCGTAGATAACCCATGTTAAAATCCTTCGGTTAGATATGAGCTGGTGGACCCCTTGGTTTATGTAGCAGGTAGAGTTTGGTAGGTTACAGGGTGACAGGCAGGGCTAATGCAGAGGAGAGTAGGGCTCTATTGGTTTATTTTATTTTATTTGTCCGCGCTCGTCTGACCCTGTTAGTGTTATATGTTTGTGGTATTATTATATACATATTATTAGATTATTATAATTTACTGAATATTTAAAACGGCTTTAGGAATGTGTGTCCCACATGGCTGTAGGCCTGCTGTGTGCATATAGGCTGAGCATCATCTCATTGCACTTTTATGCTTCCAACCAAAAGGACATTCAGCCAGTCCCTTGTTATATTCCAAAATTACAGGAGGATAATGACACTTTTATACACATCTAATGTAATTCATCAGTGGTTTTATGTAAACCAGGACGCTCCAGATCTGAACAGAATTGAAACTTTATGATAAGTTCTGAAGCAGCAAGCGAGAAGTAATTTTCCACCTCTTTTCTCTCTCAAATCTCTTGGGGCGTATTCCTGTGGCAGAACAGTGCAATATCCCACTATACAGATCAGACTTGTATGATATCATTTTAAGAAGGATTTGAACTGTACTGTAAAATGCCCTCATACTTCTTGTTTGTTACGTGACCATACAGAGCAGTCATCCGGCATGACGACATCCACATGAAGCTGCCCATACCATTACATATCCGCCACCATGTTTGACAGTTGGCAGTGGACATTGTAGAATGAAGCATCCTATATCCAAATGTGAAACCGCCCAGATGTGAGAAATTACGTTAAAGACTCATCGCACCCTATTATCTTTTCTCCTAAACCAATGTTTGTATTTATGTTTATTTGTCTTCTGAACGGGAGTCCTGCCAGAAATCTCAGCTTTGAGAAGTTTGCGACACACAGTTTTAGTTGAGAATGGGTCACAGAGTTCAATCCTGTGTTCATTTTAGATGCTATACTTTGGGCATTGAGCAATGTAAGAAGTCAAAATGAGTATCAGAAAGATCCCAATGGGGACTTCCCTGCTGCCTCCTTGGTGGTAGAGATGCGGTGAATAGATAGATGCCCTGCAGCCGAACCCTACAACCGCTAATGCTACTTAATGGGTGGTGCAGACAATAGAATCACTGTCTTCAGGATGGAAATATTTAATTACATTAGACTGAATCATATTCCATATGGAATGATTGCTAGATCTCCTTTC